GGCCGCGCCGCCGGCCACTCCGCCGGGCGAGCTCTGCGCCTCCCACCCTCAACTAGCCTAGGTTGGGAAGGGGTTCTCTTTGAGCTTGACTGCGTTCCCCTGCGTCCAGCCACGCCAGGCTTCTCCTGGGCCGGCCGCAGCTGGGCCTCCAGGCCGGCCGTTCTCCTCCTCAGCTGGATCTGTGTGGGTAGGGAGCCCCCCTTAAGCTTAACTGGATCCTCTTGACCCTGGTAAGTGGGACTGCTGCCCCCTCATCCTGGAAGACCCACAGGTATCAGTGAAGTTCCTGCCGAGCCAGGCTCCCTCATCCTGCCCACTTCCAGCTTCTGCAGCGTCTGCCTGCCCAGACCCCTACCTTCTTCCTCCGCCTTTCTGCACCCCGGCCCTTGACAGCCCCCCTCTCCAGCCTGGCTTGACCGCCTTACCTCTTTTGGTCCCAAGCCTTGTCCCTTTGTGTGCAGGGGCGTTCTTCCTTCCTCAAACAGTGGCATTTCATGCATATTTTAAACAGCCACATTAAAAAGTATGTTGATAAAGTTTCAGTTTTATGTACACGATCCAAAATGTGACTCCTGCTCTTGACACGTGTTCTAGTGAACTGGGAATGTGTCCTGCAACCATTCTACTACACCTTTTCATGGATGTAGGTACGGGTGGGAAGAAACATATTGCCCACCCCCCTGTCCTGGTTCTCCTTCCTTTCTCTGTTCTCTTCCAAGCCGAGCCCTGACCTGATGCCCTTTGTCTTGCTATTTCTTCCCCAGGGTTTGCAGTCACCTTGTTAGACCCTGCTGCCCTCCACACTTCTAACCCTGCAGCACCCGCACTCCCGCCGCGGACCTAAGGCTGCCACAGTGTCCTCTGCTGAACGGCTTTAGCTGTCAGCCTGGGGCCGCTCGGGTGTACTCAGGGAGCTGGTGGCAGTTCCAGTGATGTGGGGACGGGAGTTCAGGCCGTTGGCCTTGGTCCAGCCAGTATGAAAAGGAATTCCCATCTCTTAAGAGGTTTAACCTGATTCTGGATATTTCCATGTCCCCATTTGCCATCACTGTTTGAGTCGGGCCTGTCCGTTGCATGCCTGAGTATATCTTTAGTAGGTCTTGCTCTTCAGTTCTGACCCAGTTTTCATTCGGGGCCCTGAATGTATAGAAGTGCTCATCACCTGAGCCTTCTAACCTCCTACTTTCTCCTCATACCAAGGGGGAATCAGGCCGTTGTAATGCCTGGCCCTAAGCAGTGTTCTTGGTGGGCAGAGGTCCTGTGTAGGGGCTTGGGATTGGTGCTGTGGCTCAAATTCATGTCAGCAGCCTACTGGAGAAAGCCACAGGTCAGAGCTTGGTGACCTCTGGATTTTGTTAGCCTGTCCCGTTCAGTTGTGTATGGAGTACCCTCTAAAGGTGCAGAACCTTCCTCAGTCTTTTTCAGATTTAGGAAGTAATCAGGAGCTCTTCAGTTTGCCATCATGCGGTCAGGAGTCATCGTAGAAAGAAATCAGCAAAGTTTTCTCTGATCAGTACTGTATTGACCAGCTGCTCAGGTTGTCAGAGGTTCCACGTTACTTTGGCCCAGTACCCTCACCAGCCAGTCTGTCCTGTCACCTGTGTAGATGTGGCCCACTGCCTGATTTGGTACAGCCCACAAGCTGAGAATGGTTTTTACAGTTTTAAATAGTTCAGCGGGGGAGGGGGAGAAGTCTTGCCCCACATGGTTCCATGCAATTCGTATTTCAGTATCTGTAAATACTTTTATTGGACTACAGCTATGCTCATTCATTTGTGTGTTGTCTGTGGCTGCTTTTGCGCTACAGTGACAAGAGTTGAGTGGTTGTGATAGAGACAGTGTGGCCCCAGAGTCTAAATTATTTATGATCTGGCACTTTGCAGAAAAAGTTTGCTGCTCTCTGCTTTGTGATACTAATGGCTGGCAAACAAGTACTACATTAGCCATTAGATTAGCATGAATGTTTTTAAGTGGATTTCTAAAAAAAATTCTGTCCTGTTGTGATATTCAAGGGGTTTCCAAAGGAATCCCCTTATAAATCCCCTTTAAGTGAGTTGTGTAAGAAAAAAACCTGAGTTTGCTTCAAAACTTGAGGAAGAAATGAATGGTAGTTTTGGATGATTATTTAACAGCATTGGTGTCTCTCTCTCTCTGTCTCTCATTTCAGATTATTTATGTAAACCTGAAGATAACATCTACAGTATTGATTTCACCCGCTTCAAAATTCGAGATTTGGAGACAGGGACGGTGCTTTTTGAGATTGCCAAACCTTGTGTTTCAGGTAGGCCTCAGTACTGTAGCAGTCACTTCAAAGGGTCCTTGAGGCTCGAATTTGTGTGTACCATTGCATCCTGTGGCATGGACTCCAGCGTGTCCACTTCCTTGCCTCCTCCTGAAGCTTGGGCTGCCAGGTGCCCTGGTTTGCAGCTGCGCTAAGAGACTGATGTTTGCCGAGTATCTGCTCTGTGCTGGGTGCTGTGTCCCACATGTTTCTGTTTACATCAGGTCATGTGATCCTCACATCTCTGTGAGGAGCTATTACTCCCATTTTCCAGATAAGGAAACTGAGTCTCAGAATTTCCAAGTGACTTTCCCACGGTCCTGTGCTCATTCCTCTTACCATGTTGCCTCTGTTTAGGAAAGGAAGCCTTGGAATTAAAAGTACAATGAAGAAAGCTCACCTGAGCCGTGTGTCCTGGGGACACTGGAAGGGTCATGCTGGGGGTCCCATTCCAGGCTCACCTGTCTTCTCGCTCGCTTTCCTTTCAACAGTGCCTTCTATTTTCTTGTAAGGCCTAGTTTGGATGTTAATCTCCACCATTTTCTGGAGGAACAGAAAGCCCAGACCCATGAACTCACCTACTTGGGATTCCTTAAATTAGCCTTGAATAGATGCTTCCTGTGTTGTAGTGCACGCAGCTCCAGGGTGGTTCCTCTCTGGCTAGCCAGGCCACATCAAAGTCTTTGGAGCTCATCACTGGAGACGGAGCACCTCCTGGAGTTAGTTACTGGAACACCAGCACAGATGACTGCAGTATCCACTGAGGTCTGAATCAAGAATTCTTTTTGCAAAACTCTTCTCATATGATTTGCTACTCAGAAAGAGCCTGTAAATTTGGTAAGGCAGGTGTTAGTAGCCCAGACAGGTCGAAGGGCTTTCCTGAGAAGGTCTCGGCTCAGGTTCATTGCACAGGCAAGGCTAGAGCCCTGGTCTTCTCACCCCACCTGGCATCCTTCATGCTCTCATAATCTAGTGCTGACCAAGGCACCTGAAGGCTCCAGCTTGTGGATACTTAGCTGGTATTGGGAGGATCAGGGCCAGGCAGCCTCCTGGGTCTGTGGTACTCACGTCCCTACGCGAAATGTCCCAGTACTTTGGATGTTTTGAGGACCCCATGGCCATTTCAGATGTGTGGACTTGGACTAGGCTGGGCCCAGAGTAGTCATTTCAGTACAAAACTGAACTGTCTCAAACAGGGAGGCTACAGAACTTGTAAAGACACCTTGATTTTTGGGGCGCCTGGGTGGCTCAGTCGGTTGAGCGTCCAACTTCGGCTCAGGTCATGATCTCACGGTCCGTGAGTTCGAGCCCCGCGTCGGGCTCTGTGCTGACAGCTCAGAGCCTGGAGCCTGTTTCACATTCTGTGTCTCCCTCTCTCTCTGATCCTCCCCTGTTCATGTTGTGTCTCTCTCTGTCTCAAAAATAAATAAATGTTAAGAAAAAAAAAAATTATAAAAAAAAAGACACCTTGATTTTCAACTTCTCCAGTCTTTACCTGTAAGGATCTTGATTCACTTAGAATATGCTCACACTGAATCAGTACCCTCCTACTACACTTGTTCTGATGAGTTTGAATCCCTGAGATTTGGTCTGATTCTCTCTGAATCACATTGTTGGAGTGAGGGCTCTAGAGTCTCTGGCTCTGAACGCCTGCTCCGTCTGGTTCCCCATTTGCTCTTGGGCTTGTGATAGGCAGAGGGACGTTTGGGGTTAAAAAAGACAGAAGTTGCACCCACATTCAGCCAATACCTGGAGAAAATTTTTTTGTGGGATACTGGATGGCTACTAGTGGGAACTATCTCCTTGTTCACATTAAAATGGTTCTCTGATTCATTTTACAAAACTTCCATTTCCTGGGCTCAGGAATGGACTAGACTCACCCTCAGTCAGGTCCAGCATGTTGGCTTATTGCTTACCTACCTCACTGTTTCCCAGGTTGTCAGTGTCTGATTTGGCATGGCCTGGGATAGGCGTTACAAGGCTGTAGGCCCATGTCTTCCATTTAAATGACAAGATTATGTCTTGGAGCTTGTCTTTGCTGCCTGTCAGAAAGTTTTGTGTTCTCTGAACTCGCCTTTTGCCTATTTTCAACCTTCGTAGGCATGTTCTTTTGGTTAGCAGCTAGCACTGCGACCTGATAACTATGTATAATATAGACCATGCCAGGGACCTAGTACCCAGCCTGTGTTTCAAGCTTCACTCTTAGGATACGTCCCAAGCCACTCAACTACATAAAAGGTAAATAGCTTAATGTTTATAAGAACAAGCTTCAAGTCAGATGGACCTGGGTTCAAATCCCTGTTCCCTCCGTGTATTGTTTGGGGAAATTTGAACTTGCTGCTTAACCACTCTGGGCTTCTGCATCCTTATCAATAAGATGGAGATAATGATGACTCTCCACAGGGTTGGGAGGATTCTGTGAAATGATCAGCGCAGGGCCTGCTATGTAGCAAGTGCCCAGTAAATATCAGCCATCCTGCCGTTGGTGTTAGTGCTGTTAATTGATTGTGTTGTTTGGTGGCGCTGAGACAGTACGCTCAGGATTCCTTGTGCTCTTTCAGACCAAGAGGAGGAGGAGGAGGAGGAGGAAGGTGGAGATGTGGATATCAGCGCGGGACGTTTTGTCCGCTATCAGTTCACACCGGCATTTCTCCGCCTCCGCACAGTCGGAGCTACGTGAGTACCAGTATTTCTGGAGGGAGAACACTCGTTTGTCCACAAAGAATGTTCTTGGTTGGGTTCTGGGTTGGCTTTAAAGAAGGGAGGAGGCAAAGTAGGGCTCACAGAGATTTATTTTGCAGAGTGGAGTTCACAGTGGGAGACAAACCTGTGTCAAACTTCCGGATGATCGAGCGGCACTATTTCCGGGAACGCTTGCTGAAAAACTTTGACTTTGATTTCGGCTTCTGCATCCCCAGCAGTAGAAACACTTGTGAACATATCTATGAGTTTCCCCAGCTTTCTGAGGATGTCAGTATGTATCCCCTGACTTCTTCCCCGTCCTAAATTCTTAGGACTAGAAGGAACAAACTTTGGAGTCTATCTGGTCCAACACCCTCATCTGGCAGAGGAGGGAGGTAGTGACATGATGCCTCTCCGGGCATTTGACCTCAGGCTTCTCATTTCCTAGTGCTCCTGTCTAGGGTTTCAAATTCTGCCTGTATGGGAGCATCAGAGGTTTTAATAATGCAGGACATCTGCTTTGGGTGCCTGCTGCAGGGAAAGGGGGTGACTGAGGAAGAGGAAGAGAGGGCCGTGATGATTTCTGGGACTAGGGTTAGCCGGAGCGCCTCTCCGAGCCTCCGTTAGGCTTGCTTTTCCACTGTGTGCTAGTCATTGGCTTCTGCTCGGCGCTCCTTCTTTGCCCTCCCCTTTCTCCTTAGAGGGAGAAGCTAAGCTGGGGACTCAATAGAATCAGAGGTCTGGGGGCCTCGTCTTTCCCATTCCCTGCAAGTAGAGGTTGCGTAGATAAACTGTCAGAATAGAGCCACAGGAAATAGGGAGGTCTTACAGGGTTTGGAACAGAAGGAATGGCCGGATGGAAGTCACGTCTTAGGAAGAGTAATCCTGTAGTCCTGTGGAAGAAAAGCTGGGGAGGCACCAGAGGGAGGAGCCGAGGCAGGGGAAGAGGTGGACAGGGGAAGAGCAGCCTTTATCAGTTCCCATGACTCTGGTGGAGCTCTCTCAGGCTGGCATTATCTGTTAGTAACCAGGGAAAATGGCTCCAGAACATTGAGAATATGAGCGGGAGCCTGTGAATAGTGTGGGGGTTTGGCTGAGTTGTAGGGAAGGATCTGCATATACTGACTGGTTTTCTCAGAATCCCATGTCCTTAAAATTGTTGTATTCTGAAAGCCAGAATGTTCTTCACTCACATGGCAGTGCTGCTTTTAGGTAAAATGAGGATTGCTGCCTGGGGTGGGCTGTTTATGACAGCATCTGGTCCTGGTTTTAAACCCGCTCCCCAAGCTGTGCCAGGATATGTAGATACTTGCAAGGAAAGATTATGCATAGTAGTACAAGTTTTTACCCAAGGTGGTAGAACTTTTCTTCTTGAAAACACATAAGCTAAAAGAGTGTGGCGGTCAATATTCTGGATATGAACCAAGTAACTTTGGCCTAGGTGGGTCCAAAGGACTTTCAACAGTCAGTTTCATCTTTTGAGACCTGTGGTAAACGAGAGTGTTTCCTCCAGAGGAACCAAAATAGCTTGTGATCGTTAACTCAGAACTGATCAGAGGTAGTGACTGTTAATTATCTTGACTTTCCAGAATGGTTAAAGAGGCCTGGGCAGCTGCCTGGACAAATGAGATTTAAATCTGGATCCCAAGACAAGCAGACCTTTTGCTGAATCTTTTGCGAGTTAATACCCTGAGCCATCCCCGGAAAAGGCTCCTTGCCCTTTGTCACCCCTCACTCATGTATACCTAGGATTCCTTTGGTTGTCAGGAGTGCCTATGGGAAGTGGGCCCAGTGAGGCACAGCTTTTGGAATTTGGACCAGAATGTCTAGAGGTGGGGAACAGACCAGAAGTACTGAATAAACAATGTGCAGTAGTCCATGTTCGGCAAAGGGTAATCCTGTTTTCCTGGGGTTCCGAGTACGAGTCCAGGCTCGAGATGCTCAAGGAGTGCCATGTCAGAGAGAGGATTGCATCCTTGTGTTGAAGTGGGTATCATGTTTAAGTTGGGGGCCTCTTTGGTCCTCTCCAGCTCTCTAAGCCTGGCCCCCTCTGTTCTGACCTCATTACTCTAACAGTATACGCACATGTTCTGGAGGGCTGGACTATGAATTTTAGAGGGGGCACTAATTTTAATTTTTAAAGAGGTTTTTTTTTTTTTTATTTTTATTTTTTTTAGAGAGAGAGTGGGGAAGGGGGAGAGAGTGGGGAAGGGGCAGAGATGGGGGGAACAGAGGATTCAAAATGGGCTTTGTGCTGACGGCAGAGAACCTGATGCAGGGCTTGAACAGGGCTCGAACTCACAAACTGTGAGATCATGACCTGAGCTGAAGTCTGATGCTTATCAGCTGAGCCACCCAGGTGCCCCTAGAGGGGATACTAAGTTTTCCCCCACCAATTCTGTGGGGCAGACTCACGTGTAAGTCTTTGCTTTTTCCCTTTCTCTGACCTGCAGTTCGTCTGATGATTGAAAATCCCTATGAGACCCGTTCTGACAGCTTCTACTTTGTTGACAACAAGCTGATAATGCACAACAAGGCCGATTATGCCTATAATGGAGGCCAGTGACCGCTGTGGGAGTGGACGGGGAGGTGCTTTGCTGTGGCCCGAGGTCCTGGCACATGGAGGTGGTTGAACCTGCTGTTCGTCAACACACATCTGGAACCTGGTCCCAGGAAGCCAAGGCTGGGGTGGTGGTTTCCTGTGCTCCAAGAGAGGTGCCAAGCAGTGCTGTGTTTTCTTCCCCAGTACTTTTTCTTCCCTTTTCCCCTACCCCTTAGGTTGCAGACGTATTATAGTAATGTGAAGGATTAGGGTAAGGCTACTGGAATCCAGAGAAAAAAGAAAATTTATTTTCACGTAGTCATAGCTGCCTGCTGGTTGTGCTGATGAGCCCGGGCCACTACGGGCACAGCTGTGTCAGGGTAAGGAGGCTCTGGCCAGCCGGCTTGCCAGTCAGCGGCTTTTCCATAGGTTACTGGGTGCTGTGAGAAGCTGAACGGTGGGTCTCTTCCAGGCAGCTCGCCCTCTCACTTGCAGTATTGCCGGTGGCACGGTCTGACCTCAGTTTGAGCGTAGTTCGAAAGCAACTGGAAAAAAAGGGGGTGTGTGTGGGTGCCAGGGGTGGAGGCACCAGTGGCCGGCAGGGCTGCCAAACTGAAAAGTCCATGTTGTGGAGAGGCCTGCTTCTCTGTCTGACTTCCAGGATCCTCCGCCAGCCCTCCCGGGGATACGACAAGGTTTCAGCCTGGCAGTGCCTTCTGTTCCCGCTTTGGAGGAAAGACGAGCTTGCTCTGCGTGTCCTGCCTCCTGACTTTTGAGTATCTCCTGAAATAGAATGTGGCAGTGTTTGCTCTCGGAGCAGTAGGATCTCTTGAGGCCACATCAGGCCTCGTATTTTGTGTTTTTTGTTTCATTTTTTTATTTCTAGGCTTCTTTCAGAGAGGTTTTATAAGATGTCAGTGGTGTTCCCAGCATATGTGATGTGTGGTTAGACTTCTGATAGTATTAGTCAGGTTCCTGGGGCTAATCTGGCTCGTGTTGGGACTGGATATAGTTACGGACCAACAGCTACTTAAAGGAAGGATTTGATTTTTCAACACAGGAGAGCCTGCAGGATTGGCTTTGATGGGGATTTGCGTCTGAAACTCTGTAGATTTCTTATTTAGGAGGATTTTCCTGTCTGCCTTTCTACTGAAGTAGTTTCTGGAACCATCCTGGCAGGTCAGACCTCTAATGCATATTCTGATCCTTCATACTGCTAGTTGGAGTTCTTTTGGTTGTTTGGAAAGGATGAACTAGCCTGAGGTGGCTCTCGAAGGGTGCTCTCAAAAAACCTTCCTTGCACATCCTTGTGGGTTATGTTTGTCCTCAGGCCCTTACTGGATAGACTCTTGCCACCTCAGCTCCGTATGGTTGTCTGACTGTAGGTGGCTTTAGCTGACCCTCTGATAAGATTGTTGCTGTGGCCAGGATTTTGCATCGATAGAAAGGTAGCAGTAGGAAGGGCCCAAGTATGTGGTGATAGTCATTGTGAAGCATCGTAGTAACTGACGGAGAGCAGTCTCCCAAGATGCTTGGGACAAAAGCCATGCGGGGCCCAGGATGGAAGGGCCAGCGCTTTGCCACAGAAAGCCCCTGTGCATTCACTAACCAGTGTCTCTCCCTGTTTGGATTCTAGAGCGTGAGTGGCCTTGAACCTTGGCCTAGTAGTGCTCTGTGCCAGGCCAGAATCTGGGCTGTGCCAGGTGCTGGCAGCTTTCTCACTGAGAAAACCCTTACTTGTGTGTGTTGGCACTGGGTCCAACCGCTGAGGAGGGAAGAGACCAGGCACCCTGCAGACGGCTTACTCATCGCCAGGCCGGGTGAATCTTAGAACCGGAGTCCACTACAAATCTAGGTGCCTTATGTGTGGCTCTGTCCCACATGCTGCTGGGGATAGCTGCATTGGCCTCCTTCCCTCCTCCTCTGTGGACAGACATCAGCACTGCTTCCTTACCTTCGGTTTCTCCTCTAGCATATTTGTGTGTGCATATTGAGCTTGAGAATCGCCCCTTCTCTATGTGACAGCGGCCTAATCAGGAGATTTTCTACTGTTTGATATTCACTTAGTATCTAGGATGTGGTTTTTGGAGCTTCCAGAGCTCTGCTCAGTTGAGTATGTCTTGGAAACGTGTCCCAGGATAGATCATGTCTTGTGGACTCGTGGGCTGTCTCTTATATGCAGTGTTAGCCTTTGCCTGGAGGGCAGAGGAGGCAGGCATTCTGGCCTGAACAGTGCTGTATTCTCCTCCCCACTGGCTTGCCTTAGTCTCACTGGGGACAGTTTTGAGGCCATGTGCTCAGTCTGTGCCATCTTCTGCTCCAGAAGGTCTGTCTGGTATTCTGTACCTGGGAGTCTGGATTCGTATGTCTCATTACTCAGGAAATCAGAGTTAACCACCCTGGGGTGTTAACCAGGGTGAGTTTCAAATTCAAGTTTTTTTCCTGAACTGGGGAGAGAATTGGAAGTCATATTTTCTCTGAAAGTAGCTGAAGCAATCAGGAGTTGAATCAGGAGGCCATGTTATTAAGTTATCTGGACTGTTGATAGCACTTGTCTTGGGGGTAATCAAACCATTGGAGGGGGAAAACGACCTGCACGGGGAGACCCTGCCTTCTGTTCAGAGCTGGTATCTGAGCGGCAGCTCCCGGAGGAATACATTCCAGCAGACCGCCGGGCCCATCTGTTGCCACGGGGCCTGACGCCTGTACCTCTTCCTCTCCTGTCTTGCTCCTGTTCCTCTGCCTTGGAATCTCCAGGAAGAGTATCTCTCTTTTCCTGTGGAGCCTTTGGGCTAAGATGCCCTTCTTGCTTCTCCAAAGAAGATCCCTGTTGATTTCATTCTGTCCTAAAGAGTACGCGGAAGAAATAACAACTTAAAGTAGCTGTGGGCTAACGTAGGCTTCCCCGTCCTGGTATGTTGGCTCGGAGATCTCTTGCAGAGAAAGCAGTTTTCAGGGGCATGCAGACTCCCTGAAGACACTTACGGCCTTTGGGCCATCTGATTCTCAGAGAGGGCCAGTGATTCAGGGAAGCTGGGGCTAACTGTAGACCAGCGATTCTTGAAATGGCAGTGACGGGGAATCTTCAAGGGGAATGCCTTCAAGGGACATTCATTTCTGGAATGGATTTCATAGGCTATGTGGACTGGATGAATTAGGTGAGTCTTGCCTTAGTGTCCTGCCACCCCTGTAGGCTCCCAGGGCACTCTTTTTTCTCTGTCAAGTCACTTTCTTTTGGTGGCTATTGTCACCACGATGTCAGTGAGGTTTGGGGACTGGAGACAGCCTGCCCCCAGAATCCCAGCATAGATTTCCTTGCCAGGGCATGGGGCAAGGGGTTCCTGTGCAGAGGTGCTGCCGTCCCCAGTGTGAGAGCCTGGTCGTCAAATCATCACTTACTCACATTCCATGTTACAGAACATCTTCGCCACAAGAGGGGTCTGGTGGAGGTGGATTTACCCTTGTTTTACAAAGGATCATGTAAAGTCATTGAAGTTGTGAAAGTCTATTTTTTTTCCCCTGTAAATCTATTTTTCACAGAATATAAGAAACATCAATGACCTGATCTGTCCTTCCTCCTCTTTCCCCTTCACCCAAGATCCTCATTCCAGTTTGTATTGTCTTTGTGTCCAAAGTAAACTAGGTGACCTATTTGTATAAAATGTTATTTTGTCACAAGAGACAGTAATAAAAGATTTTCACAGTACACGCATCCTCTCTTGTGTCCTGAGTGGGCCCTTTGCATTGCTGGGGGGAGCAGGTGTGGGGTGGGAATGGGCTCTGAGTTTCTTTATGTGACCTTTCTGTAAATAATGAGTAGAGGTGGCTTCTAGGGTGAACAGGGAACAGTGTTTGGCTTTAGATTTTATATTTTTGCTTTGTTTCACTGGGGAACTTTGGGAATTAAACATTTGTGTATTTT